GGTATTTTTCGATTATGTTGTGTTTTTTGCCGGTTTTTCGGAAAAATCCGGGATGATCGATGTATTTATCACTTATTTTTAGCCAGTATTAGCGCGTGACTGGGAATTGCAAGTGAGTTTTGCAATCCACGGCTCCACTGGTGAATTGTATGGAGATGGCGCAGCTATTTGGTACGTACAGGATCGTGCCCAGCCTGGACCAGTTTTCGGATCCAGAGATTATTTCCGTGGTTTGGGCATTTTTTTGGACACATACAGCAATCATAATGGGCCGCATGCGGTGAGTTTTTTTGTCCGGTCATAGATGACAAACTACTAAAATTTTGTTACATTTTAGTAATTCTTGCTTATAGTACTAGTTTTATCGGACAGACAGCTAAAAATAATTTCTGCCTTAATGGATTTTTGAAAAAAAAAAATTTTGAAAAAAAAAGAAGCATCGGATGATCTAGATACCTAGATCTCCCAGATTAAATGAAATTTCCCTGCACTGATTGTTATTATACTAGAAAATTTGATAGAAATCTGGGCCACTCAGTACATAATGTTTTCACTTTTTATGCCTAGAAATCCACATAATTTGCATAAAATCCTAAAATTTTGAAAAAGTTTGTGAGGGAAAATTTCGTACATCATCGGCTGACGTAGGCATTAGCAGATTAAACGAACGTTTCCTGCACTGATTATAGTTATGCTAGAAAATTTGATAGAAATCTGGCCAATCATTACATAGTATTTTCATTTTTTTGCCTAGAAATCCACATAATTTGCATAAAATTCTGAATTTTTAAAAAAGTATGTGAGGAAAAATCTCATACATCATCGGCTGATGTAGGCATTGGCAGATTAAACGAACCTTTCCTCCATCGATTGTTGTTATATTAGATAATTTGATAGAAGTCTGGTCCAGTTAATATATATTAACTTTATTTTTTATGCCTAGAAATCCACATAATTTGCATTAAATCCTAAAATTTTGAAAAAGTTTGTGAGGGAAAATCTCATACATCATCGGCTGATGTAGGCATTGGCAGATTAAACTAACCTTTCCTACACTGATTGTAGTTATGCTAGAAAATTTGATAGAAATCTGGGCCAGTCAGTACATGATATTTTCATTTTTTATGCCTAGAAATCCACATAATTTGCATAAAATCCTAAAATTTTGAAAAAGTTTGTGAGGGAAAATCCCATACATCATCGGCTGATGTAGGCATTAGCAGATTAAACGAACCTTTCCTGCACTGATTGTTGTTATACTAGAAAATTTGATAGAAATCTGGGCCAACCAGTATCTATTAACTTTATTTTTTATGCCTGGAAATCCACATAATTTGCATAAAATGATGTTTTTCTTAATTTTAGTCGTTCTGATTTCAGTTATTTTTTGATTAATGGTCATACTTTATTCTGTTTATGCTTCTAGTGTTGTTATATTTGAGATGACAAGTAACGGCCATTGGAAGGCTGAACCAGAAAGTGGACGGTCCAGGTGGGGCAGTCGAAGTGGGTTAAATTGATAAAAAATTTTTTGCAGCCATTGTTAGGCCGAACTGTAATTTCTGAAGTAAAGGCCAATTTGAACAGTGGAAAATATGGAACGGCCGAAATTCTTAAATTTTAATTTTGGGTGAAATTAGTAAATGGATTATCACAGTTTTTGTACTGTCGCTCATAACAGATCGAAGAAAAAATGCATTGATTTTTGATTTTTTTTTCATAAAAATTCTGCCGTGGAAAAATAGGATTGATCATTGTAGCATGGTCATCCATATATCTCAGCAATGGTCAATAATGGCTCGTTACACTACGATCACGATATGGACGGTACGCATACACAACTCGGTGGTGAACATACCGGATGTGAGGTACGATTCCGTAACAAACAGCACGAAACCCAGCTGCTGGTTCGATATGTGAGCGATGTACTTTCGGTTTGTTAATTACCTTATTTTTTAGTTTCAGTTTACTAAGTTGATAGAGATTTTTCCTTTTTTTTTCAAATAATATATTGTGATTGAAATTTTTGAATGTAAATTCTGTAAATGAGAGCTAGATGACCTCCTGTTACTGCACTTTTGCGTATCTCTACACCCGAAATGAGGCCTCTAAGTGTGCTTTTTGTACGAATAATATCAATTTTGAAGTTATATGTGATTATGTAGATAGCTGAAAGCATTGGCGGATTCAGGGGAGGGGAGGCGGGTGGGGGAG